GAATGCTATATATTGCTACTTATGAAATATGCACAAGCTTAGTTCAAGGTTTATCTAATTCGAATCGCAGAAGTACACCCAATTTCAAGATATCAATACGATGATTTAAGAAAACTGTGAATGTATGCGAATGCTTAAGAATGGATAGGAATGTGTGAGAATACCTAGGATTGATTGAAGGGAATGGCTCGGAATGGATCGAAATGCATAGGAATGCCTTGGAATGGCTCGGAATGTCCAAATAGTTTTTTCCCCTTGAGATAGAATACTATAGGTGCAGAGGTATGGATTACTATAGGCTTAGTGGGATTGTATTGAAATCGGTACGAAATTTAGCCTACGAAACCTTTTTTGAAAGCAGAAGAAAAAAGTATGATACGAAACCATATTCATACGAAACTTTTTCTAGCAGTAAAAAAGAAGTAGTTTTGTACGAAACCATTTTCATACGGAACTTTACAAAGGTTTCGATTTCGTTACACAATTCGGAACCTTTTTAAAGTTCCGTATGGTACCTTTTCTCAATGTACGAGATAGGGAATCTCGAATTTTGAGTCAGCTGCATGCAGTCGAAATAAGGTCTAATGGTTTAATTTGAACGACAATCAACTCCTGACATCCGAATTAACTATTTGGAAAGTAAAAGATTCACTTTTTGGAGGGGGCCGATCTCACGGTGTATCGATTCGAGGGTGTGGGTGTCGGTGTGGGTGTGGGTACAGGTGTGGATGTGGCGTGTGGATCCAAGTCTTCTTTTGATCAACGCATCGACACCCACACACATGTCCACACATCCACACCCACCCACAGTGCCCACACCCATACTCACCCACAACCACTCACACCCACATCTGATCACCAGAAATATCACTGTAAGTACTAATAAGCACGAAAAATAATAAGTGAGCTACCTGTGACATCATTCTCCAGAAGGAGAAATAAAGGAAACTTGAATAAAAGGTATTTACTTATTTAGCGCTATCTGTTATTATTCAATATTGAATTTTTGTACTCGATGTTTTCCAAAATCGACGGCATAGAGATTGCCATGTCGATCAAATGACAAACCGATGGGCCTATTCAGTTGATTCGATTGTCCTCCTTCACCGTGTCCACCAACAATGACGCTTTCCTGTCTGGCTCCTTTGGGCCAACGCATGATTCGATTATTGCCACCATCAGCCACATAGACAGTGCCTAATTGATCGACAACGACTCCTTGAGGATATGACAATTGTGTAAGACCATTTTCTTCTCCTTGACCACCATCACGACAATGCCTTGTTTTGCACCTTTCCTCCATTTCATCACACAATGATTTCTCCATTCAGATACATAGACTGATTGATCTCGATCGACGAATACGTATTGTGGTCTATCGAGTTTATTGAGACGATTTCCACTTCCATTGCCACCTGCAACCACTGTTCATTTCGATTCTCCTCTTCGATATCATCTCACTTCATGTTTTCCATAGTCAACGACATAGAGAGATCCATTCTCGTCCATTGTCAAACCCCAACAAGCGATGTTGGATATGATTGTTTCTCCACTTGTCCCATTTCGGCGAGACCATCGAACCACTGTTCTATTCGAATTATCGCATATGATGAGACTATCTGTCTCTTTGTCGACAATCACATTCAATGGATCAGACAAATGATGAATCCCACTTCCTTGCTCATTTTCATCGGCAACCACTTGTCCACTCGTTGCTCCCCATTTCTATTCCATAATACGATGATTGCCTGTATAAGCGACATAGATTGTTTGTTCATCATCAACAAACAAATCCAATGGGAATGAGAGTTGATTGATTCCATTGCCATCTGCATTTCCTCCAGCTACTGTAATCCCATTTTTTGTTGCCATCGAGCATTTGGATGAATATCGATGACAGCTGTTCGTAGAGGAAATAGTTGTAATGCTGAAATTGAATTATTATTTCGAAATCTACCCATACCCACGAAAAAGGGTGTGGGTGTGGATGTGGGTGGGTGTGGGTGGTGGTGTGTGGGTGTGGGTATGGGTGTGGGTGGTG